TGTTATAACTTTGTTGCTAATAGCTCTCAAGAAGTGCTACAATTACTCTCTATAATACTTATCACAGCTATAATTAAGTACTAGTGTGATCATCTATTTAAATTCTGACTCTTCCACTAGATGTGGTATTCCATCTAAGTCTTGCTGATATGCCTTCGCCATCTGCAATCAAACACATTCAATACATAACAGCTGGAAGAAAAATTAATGATTCAAAACTCTTATCTTACTTCATCAATGCTCCAAACAATTTCATTACTGGATTCCTCCAATAATGTTAAGATCTACTAGGAAAATTACCTTAAACTTATAATTAAAAAAAACATTTTTTTCTCTTCTTGCCAAACCCTTTTCCATTCCCAACTATCCTTAAATAGTAAGATCTTAAATTTTAAATCATTTTTATCTATTCCATCAATCTGTATCTGAAGTATGACTAGGTCTACACATCATAAACCAGTCTTTAACATTTTGCTCACAGTAGCTTTACAATCATATCTCATATCCTCTTCAAGGAAAGGTTGAAAGAATTAAAGAATGGCCTGGGCAGCCAGAACTTGAAGGGCCAAATTCCTAAAGAAAGGGAACAGGAGAAAACATAAGCCAACACCTTGAAGCCATTTCTACCTCAGAGTATTTGTCAGTTCTGGGCACAGGGCAAGAGGAAAAAGAAGGTTCTGGGCAAAGGTCCCAAGGCTGACTGTGGCTGCTATTAAATAGCCAAGATAAGGAAAAAAAAAAACAAAAACAAAAAAAACCCTTAGCAACAAGTACAAAAAGCACAAGGGCTGAAGGCATGGCTCAAGGCACAGTGTGCTTGCCTAGCAAGCATAAGGCCCTGAGTTCAAACTCCAGTACTGAAAAAATGAAATAAATAAAAACAAAAACAAAACCACTACCCTATTGGCAATTTCTTGAATATAAAAATAATGGGCTTAAAGGGTCAAAATGTGGTAATAAGGTAGTAGGTCCAGAAGACTTTCACTAAATTCTGATAATGTTCCCTCAAAACTTCTTATAAATCCTCAAACTACAGGAACAAAAGAAAAAAAAAAGCAGAAACCCACTAAAATAAAGATGAATGACTATTTACAAAGCTCAAAACACTAAGGGGAGAGTAGTTAGAATTTTAGATCGCTTAAATGGAACAAATTCCAAGAATATCTCTGAGTTGTCAATGCAAATGTTTGAACATTTAGCCTCCCCTTTTATCATTCTTCCTCATCTACCTTTCCCTTCCAAAGCATCAAAGTTCCATGATCCAGAACCTCATATCTAAGATATAAGTTGAGCTCAGAAAATTAACCTCCCCAAAAATAAACCCTCAAAAAAAAAACCCAATTAATAAATAAGTTAAAAACTTAAAGAGACTTCTCAGGAGAAGAATGAAGAGTGGATACATGAAGAAATGTTCTACAAGTAAACACACTGGATGGTAAAAAAAAAAAATATATATATATATATAAACTGGGACATGATAAATTATATAGGTCTCTAGGCATTCATACGGAGTGAGACCAATGGAGGACATTCTTAGAAGAGGATTACATAGGCACAACAGCTATGACCATATAAAATAATATTTATTGAAATTAAGTGCAGGAAATGAAAAGGGTTTTTTTTTTCTTTGTTGCTATTTTTGTGGTCTTTTCCTTTTATCTTGTTTATCTGGCTTCTGGAGAGTAAGAGGGGAGTAGAGAAATAGTGAGACAAGGGGGGAGCAAAGGGTGAACAAATGCAGCAGTGATGCTCACTAGATACTATGTTGAAAATGAACTATATAACTTGTGGGTAGGGATGGGATGGAAAAAATGGGAGAGAAGGAGGGAAAGGGTGACATTGTTTAAAAAGAAATGTACTCATTACCTGACTTATATAACCCTTCTCTACCTCATTTTTACCATAACTATAAAGAAATTCAAATAAAAAATTCTTTGTTCCATTTTCACACATGAACATAAAAGTATTTTGACTATATTGTCTCTCCAATTAGTTGAAATATATGTTTCAACTTCCTAATATTCATTTTTGTTTAAATGAATGTTAATTGTTCAAAGGGATTTCACAGTTTTATCTTACACATACATATACAATACTTTGGGAATTCCTAGCCAGAGCAATTATACAAGAGAAAGAAATCAAAATGATCAAAATCAGGAAGGAAGAAGTTACATTATTACTATTTACAAATTATATGATTTTGTATCTACAGGACCCTAAAGAATCCACTCCAAAACTCTCATCATCACAGCAAGATACAAAAATCTCAACATACAAAAACTAGGTACATTTCTATACACCAACAATGAACAGGATGAAAGGAAAATTAAAACAAAAGAATAAATAAATAACCATTGTAAAGGTAAAGGACATCTACAATGAAAACTATAAAACCTTGAAAAAAGAGACTGAAGAAGATCTCAGATGATTGAAAGACCTCCCATGTTCATAGATTGCAGAAAATGTAACCTAAAAATAGCCATCCTGCCAGCGGCAATCTACAAATTCAATGAAATACTCATCAAAATTCCAATATCTCTCTTCACAGAGAAAGAAAATTCAATCCTAATATATGGAAACACAAAAGGCTCTGAAGAGCCAAAATAACCATGAGCAAAAAGAGCAATGCTGTAAGTATCACAATAGCAGACTTCAAACTTTACTACAGAGTTATAGTAACCAAACAGAAATGGTACTGGCACAAAATAGATGCAAAGAGCAATGAAACAGATTACAAGACTCAGAAATGAATCCACACACCTACATACATCTGATTTTAGACAAAAGGAACCCAGAATATACATTGGCAAAAAAGATTACATTTCAACAAATGGTACTAGGTTTGTTTTGCTTTTTTTTTAAGTGTATTTTTTTATCTATTGTTTTTGGTACTGGAGAACAAATGTAAGATGCTTCACTTGCTAGGCAAGCACTTTGCCACTGAACTACATCACAATCCAACAAATGGTAGTAGGAAGACTGGATGCCCAGATGAAGAAGACTGAAACTGTATTCCTATCTCTTACCCTCCACTAATATCAATTCAATAACTAACTGAATAACAATGTTTAACAGAACAAAGGCATATCATTAACAATACATCAACAATATTTAATGATATTTTTTTTGTTCGGTCATTGGGCTTCACGCTGGGCCTGGGTGCTCAAGGCAGGAACTCTACCACTTGGGCCACAGTGCTACTTCCAGTTTTCTGGTGGTTAATTGGAGATAAGAGTCTCACAGACTTCCCTGCCCAGGCTGGTTCTGAACCTCGATCCTCAGATCTCAGCCTCCTGTATAGCTAGGATTACAGGTATGAGCCACCAGTGCCCAGCTCTATTTAATGATATTCTACCAATGCTTAATTCATGTCTCTATCTCTTATCAATTCCCTGAACTACTTTTAATTTTTTTTACTCACCATTTTACATGATTCTTCTAATCCTAATTGCCAAAATTCACTATTTCAAATTATGAAAACACTTAAAATATATGTAAATTTAGAAAAGACCAAGCCCCAGTGGCTCATACCTGTAAGCCTAGTTACTCAGGAGGCTGAGATCTGAGGATCCCGGTTCAAAGCCAGCCTGGGCAGAAAAGTCCATGAGACTCTTATTTTCAATTAACCACCAGAAAAACAGAAGTGGTACTGTGACTCAAGTAGTAGAGTGCTCGCCTTGAGCTGGAAGAGCTCAGAGACAGCACCCAGGCCCAATTTCAAGCCCCACAATCAACAACAACAACAAAAAAGACCAAACTGTATAATCAAAAATAAATACATACATGTCTACACAAACACACACACTAATTTCTCGCATTTCTCAGTTTGTTTTTTGTTTTTGTTTTTTTTGTCAGTCGTGGCTTCAACTCTGGGCCTGGGCACTGTCTCTCAGCTCTTCAGCTCAAGGCAAGCACTCTACCACTTGAGCCACAGAGCTGCTTCCAGATTTGTTGTCGTTTATTGGAAATAAAGAGTCTCACGTGATTTTTTTGTTGCTTTGTATGTCCCTCCCCCACAGTGTAATCCCTGTTTTTACTGTATTTGATGTTGGTATAATTTGGGGAGCTGAAGGAAAAAAACAAATTGTTTAAGTGGGGATACAGGTGGACCCTCTGCAACAATGAGATGTACAAGATGCTATGTCGAAAAACGAACTTTAACAACTTTGGCTGGGGAGGGGAGGGGGACCAGAGATGGGAGGGGAAACAAAGGAAGAGGCAACAATGCTTGATAAGAAATGTACTCATTACCTTGCTCGTGTGATTGTAACCCCTCTGTACAGTATGTTCACAATAAAAAGCTTATTTAAAAAAATAAAACAGTCTCACGGACTTTCCTGCCCAAGGTGGCTTTGAACTGTGATCCTTAGATCTCAGCCTCCTTGGTAGCTAGGATTATAGACGTGAGCCACCAGGGCCCAACCAGCTTTTTTATTTACCTTTTATTTCTCTTACTTTTTTCTTGCTTTCTTTATCAAGTATTGGGATTACGCTCAGGGCGTTGAATTTGCTAGCAAGCACTCTTATGATGGGAGTTACACTCTGTCACTTTTGTTTTTCTAGTTGGTTTCAGATAGGATCTTGCATGTTTGCTCCAGTCATCCTCAGAGTACTATCTTCCTACTGCTTCTCTGTAGCAGCTGGGATTACAAGTAGGTACCATCATACTCAGTTATTCAGCATCTCTTTTGAAACATGGTTAAATTTAGTAATGTTAAGAATAATGTATAATATTATGCACATACAATTATACATTATATAGATAAACATAACATTAAGTATCTTCTAAGACAAAATCTTACATACAAGTTATCTTCAGCTTTTCAGGTCAACTGTTTTGGATATCTAATGTATAGCAACAATAAGGATTATACACTTTCATTACAACAAAATCCTTTGACTATAAACAGGTATAAAATGAAGTGTTAAAAATGGAAACACATTAAGTTGAATTGTCTAAAACAAAGGCATTTGGAAAGCATATTTTAAGACAGACATACTTATCCCAACCAAGAGTTTCCATGTCTTCAACAAGGCTTGTGTAGAAATGGGGAGGAGGAGGCAGCACATTTATCTCTTGTCTATTCTTTAAAGCAGCTTCCTGTTTTAAGAGAAAACAAATCTTGAATCAGCCGTGAAATGGTAGATGAATTCTTAGTACCTGATTACAAATGCATCATTACAATGTTCTTAGTGCCTACCTTAGGTGCTCATTATTTTTATAGAAAATATAGGTTACTTATTCATTCCTCTTGTCATGAAAAAGTTAAAGGACTTCAAAAAGGTCATGTAAAACTTTTTATAACATTTTTATAACATGAATGAACTTAGGATTTTAACATTTTTGGGGCTAATATTCCAATCAAGGATGAAAAATATAAAAATAAAAAATATCTTCTAAGCTTCATTATCTTTCTATTGATATATGACATCAAAATAAGTATCTTTTAAAGAAAACGTACTCTGTACCTAGATTGACTAGCTGGATATATTTGTATGCCCCTGTGAACCACATCCTAACTCAATCCCCTTGTTATCATAGTAAATGTCTACCTGCTAATTTCTTTCATTACCATTCATTTTTACTCTCTGATCATGAAAGAATAATATTGTACCACCTAACTAACTAGATCACTTTCTAGTCATTTTCCTCCCTTGACCCACATATGATATCTTTTTACTTTTTTCTTTTTTTTGTTAGTTGTGGGGCTTGTACTCTGGGCCTGGGTGCTGTCCCTCAGCTCTTCAGCTTAAGGCTCGTGCTCTACCACTTGAGCCACAGCACCACTTATGGTTTTCTGGTGGTTAATTGGAGATAAGAGTCTCACGGACTTTCTTGCCCTGGCTGGCTTTGAACCACGATTCTTAGATCTCAGCCTCCTGAGTAGCTAGGATTACAGGCGTAAACCACCAGGGCCCAGCTCCACATATGATATCTTTAAAACAAACCTAAAATTTATATTTTTTACAAGCAACACAAAGAATCTTAGAATGACTGAGGCAAAAAATTACCAAAAACTTTCTAGTTTCTAACCTAGACGACTATCTTATTTTAAGAGCGAAAACAAAATATATCTATACTTAGATGTTCATATAAACATCACCTCATTCGTAAGGAAATAGAAAGACTTGGAAAAATCATGAAGTAAACCAGACCCAAAGAAACATAGAACCCATAGTTTTCCTTATTTGTAATAATTAGTATATGTCTAGGATAGTCCTAGCAGATAAACAGAATAGCTCAATAGCTATGTACATAAGACCATGTAAGATGATGCTAATCGAAATGAACTCCAAGATATGGAAACAAGAAGTTTTTCTTTGTTGTTGTTTTTAATGCACTATGTGGTTTCTTTTTCTTTTGTTTTTTTTCCCCTATGGTTTATCCCCTGTTGTCACTGTATTTGACTTTGGTACTCTGTGTATTATATATACGTTTATTTGAATTAGAGAAGGAAAGGGGAACAACAATTAATGGTGAGAAAAAGGACAAGGGCGAACCAATGCAACAATACTCACAAGAAATGAACTGTACAACTGTACAATTTTATGGGGGGAATTAAAAGGGAGAGAAAGTTGGAGGAAAATGAGGGAGAGGGGTAACAAGTTCAACAAGCAATGTGCTCACTACCTTAAACCTGTAACTGTAACTCTGTACATCACCTTGACAATAGAAATAAATTTGAAAAAAGAAAAAGAAAGCAAAGATATTAGATCATCATTTCTTAATTCTTAATAGTAGATATAGGCAAGGATTTGTGTTGAATGATCATTTGGAGGCAAGTTGGTGGAAAATTTCCTACCAGACCAAAAGCTACTGATGAATCTCTACAAAAAAGTAGTCAGATCTCATATCACTAATACAATATGGTACTGAGCACCAATTAATCTTAGCAAAAAATGAACCCCAATTTAAAGATAGCTTTAGATCTAACTGCAGATTACAAGGAAGATCCAGGCTAAGTAGCCCTTATCTGAATGCTTGAAAGGAACAATGTCAAGGACGTCAATTTTTTTCCATATTTAAAATATTTACATATACATGAGATATATTAGGGATAAGACCAAACCTAAACACAAAATTTACATTTCCAACCACCTCATACACATGGCCCAAAGCAATATTATTAGCATTGAATGCAATTTTAAAAAACAGTTTAATAATTATGTACATGAGACAAACTTTTGATACAGTGAAATTTTCTACTTGTGGGCGTCTGTTCAAAGAGTCTGACATTTTGGAACAGTATGAATTTTCAGATAGGATATATTCAATCAACTTTTAGGCAAATACATTAAAGATTTTATGAATATCTAACAAACCAAATCCACAATGTAAAACACTATGTAGGACACATAGTTTTGTTTTGTTTTTCCAGAAAGTAAATGATATGAAGGAAAGGAATAGATGGAGAAATATTGTATAATTACCATACAAACCAATATGAAGTATGGACATTGCGGATACTAATACAAAATACAATTAAGGAAATTTCATTAGTTTCACTAAGGTTACAATTACATACTTAAAAACAGAAAAAAACCACTTAGTGATTAAAAGATACACATTAATATTAAGAAACATTAAAAGATATACGCTAATAAAGGAATGGATACAATGCCTAAGATTTCCACTTAAAATACTACAATCTCTTTTAAAAGAAGTCCAGGAAGAAATATGATTCAAATGTATATTATATATGCATAATGTATTTATGCATGCATGCTATATGTATACATATGTGCAAACATAGTATATATCAGTATATACTATATATTAATACCTATATACATATACACATACACATATAGAATAAAGACAACATCTCTTCAGAAATCTGTGGCTATATACAAAATTATTCATACTTCACATATTAAGATACAACCATCTAACTTATCCTCAGATGCTAAATTCCCTGACAGGCAAGAAATTCATTTTATTTCTCCACTATCTGCCCAACTCTAGTGTCAACTCTACCACATTTATGATTTAACCAAATGAATTTCTTCACATAGTTCTATTCCTAATGCAACTGAAGACAGTACTATCCACATTTAAGTATGTAGTAAAATAAAACATAAAATGACTGTAAGTTGAAAAGTTTTAAATTCTAATCATGTTAGCTTTTAAAGGTTATAAAAACAATCAAGACATAGCGAACATGATAACAGTGTTAGAAAAAAAAAAAAAACGTACCAAAATCATTTTCAACTCCATCATAAAGCTCAATAGATCAGGGGAGTGCTGCATTCTCTAAATAAAACATTTATAATTAGTTTTACATTTACAAAGAATCCTTCACTTATGAAAACAATTTATATGCTGACGTTAACATGAAAAATACTGTATTTACATCTTAATAATAAGTAGTAAAGTTTTTGTCATTTTATAAAAGTAATTAAACTCATCAATTTTAGTGAGATATGCTGAATTTCCTACAAGTCACTTAAAACCCCACACAGTCCTATTCCTTTAGCACTGTTCACTACCATGTTTAACAAATCTAACAAATCGCATCATTATTTTTAAAAAGACAAGAGCAGAGATAAAGATGTGAATGGAAAGAAGAAATTAAAAAACTCAAAAAACTCAATGACTTTTAAAAGTCGTTAAAGTAACAAATTACTTATCAACATATGCTTTAATATTTTTCTCATTTTTGTCCTACACAATTATCCTAAACTACATCAAAAAGAGAAAAACCTTCAATAAAATAAAAAGTATCACACTGTCATGGCAAAAATGGAAAATGGCCTCTAAAACAGAATAAATAGAGGATATTTCTTAAATAACTACAAAATAAAAAGGAAGCAAAGAAAATAGTTTCATATTGCTCCCTTAGAACATTATAACATTTCTCTGTATTTTCTTATTTTTAGATGCATTGTACCATAACCACACTGTCTCAACAAACTCAAATGGAAATTTATTTGGTCTTTTTGTTTGTTTGTTTTTGCGAGTCCTGGGGCTTGAATTCAGGACCTAGGCACTGTCAGTCAGGTTCTTTTGCTCAAGGCTAGCACTCTACCTACCACTGAACCACAATGCCACTTCCAGCTTTTTCTGTTTATATGGTACTGAGGAATCAAACCCAGGGCTTCATGCTAGGCAAGCACTCCACCACTAAGCCACATTCCCACCCCTTTATTCGGGTCTTTTAAGGTAACAGAAATAAAAACTGTAAGATATTTCAACAATGCACAATGGTGTATCATTCACTATCTTGATAGAGTTATGTTTGTATTATACATCTTAGACTATACTTTTTTGAATGATTTCTTTCTTTTAGCTTGCTATAGATAAATAATAAATTATATTAAGATTCTGCAAACTACAGCCCAAAGGTTATAGTTCTATCTTGACAGCTATTTTGTAAATAAAGCCTTATTGACTTGCAGCCCTGCCCATTCATTTTCCATTGCCTATGGCTGCTTGGGTGCTGTTAAGAAAAGAGTGAGATACTTGTGACAGAGACTAAGTTCCACAGGCCTGAAAAGATGATTCTGGTCACTTATATAAAAAAAAATTGTTGACTACTTGGCCTGTATTTAACAAAAAAAAAAAATAATGAGTTAAATAATAATCAACTAAACTTTGAAATATAACAAAACTCAAATACTGGGTTCTACTGGACCAACTGGAAAACAAAGATATCCTAAAACAAACAAGCAACCACACACACACACAAAACCCTTCAGATTTTTTTCTAGATTATCTTGATATACAAGTAGAGAAATGAATTACACATTTTATTATTTTGCTGAGTTTTTAATAATTTTCCGGGCCACTTAAATATCTCAATGTAGCCATTCTTAAACTTTAGTGTACAATATAAAGTCACAGAAATTGGGGAAAGTAAAAAGAAAATGAAGTGAAATAATTTAAACATTCCATTAAAAAACTACTACAATGACACAGCTCAGGTGACAGCAAAAATTCCACAAATTACATTGCTCCTACATTTCTTTGTGACTTGATACATATTGTTTAGTGTGGATAATTCTCCATGTCAGTTATCACATATAACTTACCATAACATAGAAAAAATATAAGAAACAAAAGCACACTAATAATAAGACATCAAAAATGTCCAATACCACTAATACTTTTTATGAGAAGCATTTCATTATTTTTCATTTTCATTATTAGTTGCTTAGTAACCCATTTTTAACTTGCTGTAATCCTTGAAGGAATGTTCAGATACAGTATCACAGGAACTAGTAATAACTAAATTAATCTTGACTATAGCTCAATTTCTAGCTACCATTATTTTCTGTCATTATGTAAGTATATATGATATAATGTTTCTAATACATTTTCCATTACTGACTGAGAGACCAAAATCCCATGTTTGCCACAGATAATCTGGATCTAGATTGGAGTTTCAGAGATGCCATCCAGGAAATAATATCTTAAGAAAACGTTAAGTCTCATATGAAAATTAACTTCAACATAAATGTTGCCTGAAGATCTGCACAGGATTCCAGAAAACAATATATAATGTAAAGTACCTTAAAATGTTTGATAGAGTAGAAACCTGTAAAAACCCAGCAATTATTATACTAGTTTGTTATAACAGCCTTGCAAAACAGATCTTTAAAGAACAAATTCACTGATTTCCTATCCTCATCTAAAATATAAACCTTTCAAAAGGCTTACCTGCTTGACTATTTGATGGTATCCACTAAGTATGCTTCTCAGTTGCCAACTACATAGTAATCTAAAATTTTAATAGGACAAAATGGTTTATTCACTATTTAGAATTAGAAAAAAAAAACTTATTTGTATGCTAACAAATACCCACATACAATCAAAAGAATGACATAAATATAATTCTGGCAAGTTAATAAAATTTTTCCACTTTTGAAAAGCCTTGTCTTCAAACTGTCAGTATTAATTTCATTTCAAAATATAAATAACTACAATCAACAAATGACATGCAAACAGTATCTTTTTTTTTAACTTTAACATATCCAAAGCAAAATTTTCTATTTAAAACTAAATTCTTCGCTGAAGTATGTTAAATATAAATAACAGTTTGGATCATAATTTATCACATTTATATTTCAAAATGCATTTATACTAATATATTAGTCATTTTTAGAGTAATATAATTGTACATACTTTTAACGGTATAGGTAGTGATAAAGTTCATCTATCTCACCTCCTGGGCTCTCAATATTGGTAGATAAGCAACTTTTCTGTTTTTTTGGTCATTACCAAAGTTTGAACTCAGGGCTTAGAGCTTACTCAGATCTTTTACTCATTCCCAGAACTCTACCACTTGAGTCATGAGTCTAATGGAGTATTTTGCTAATTAAGTGGACAAGGAGTCTCCTCATTTTCTTCCAGGGCTGGCTTTGAACTCTGATCCTCCAGGCATTATCGTTTTGAAATTACAGATGTGAGACACTGATGTCTGGCTCAATAAATACAAATTTCAAAGAATGACTTTTACCTATCTGGAAATAGACAGTCTGATTCTCCAAATGATGGCCTTCCACAACCCTCTATTCTTGGTTTATCAAATCCCATACATACCTTTATTCCTTCCTGATCAGAGTAGTTCATGGCACTGCTTATAGGTAACACCCTCTCCTCTCCAAATGTACTTCCAAACCCTTGTAACCAACTTGATCATTTCACTAATTATCCCATTACTGTGGTAATCTTAAATTATTTTCTATTATTTTTCTTTTTAATGATTTTAACATTCTTTAATATATATCATATAATAAAAAACAAACTTAAATCTTCCTTGAGTGCAAACCCTAGCTTGGCCTCTCCTTTTCTTCTAAGTAGTTTATACTTTTATGTTTCTTTTCTATGCACTCAAACTTTCCAAATACAACACAAAATGGAATTATATCTAACCTGACCTCTTTGCATTGCTCAGCACAGCTAATCATTATTTCCTTCAGGGTTTTTACTTGGTCTAAAGTTTCCTCTTACATTTCTGATCGTTTCTAGTCATATTAATTTCCCCGTTAGTTTATTTACTAGTCCTTTAAATAACAGTGTATTCTCAAGGTCCTGTCTCCTACTCCTTTCTCTTTATACACCTATTTGGCACTTTTGGGGAAAATATACACATCTGCTGCTCACTGTTTAAATAAAAACAGTAAATGACTTACCTTTGAAAAGTAACTTATAGTAGGAAAATAACTTACAAATGCCACACTTATTTGTATGAAAAAATATATTTTGAGTTTGCTGAAGGCCTTTGTGGTCACTAAACACAGTATACACATGGTGTCAATCCCACAAAAATACATGCATGTAACTAACCACCACATTACCTTGCATTCTTCAGTTTTAAGTCTTTAGGCAACAATATTCTAAGGTGAAAATCTCTTCCCTGTGGAAAAGAATTTAAAAGTTCAAACTTTCATCTTCACTTAATGCTGAACATTTTTAAAAGAATCACATAAACAGGAAGCATTTTCCACATTTTCTAAAAACAATAAAATTTATCTTTATTTTTTTACACTTGAAATATACAAGCTACAGAATATAGCACTTAAAGATTGCAATTCAAATCTACGTCAAAATTGTCACTCATGGGAAACAAAGATACTAAGGTATTATTTTTAAAGAGAGTAAGAAGTTCACTTCTTAGTAAACATACAGAAAAAATTTAAATGTTCTTTCTTTAAAAATGCTTTCAAATTTGTTTAAATATAGAAGAAAATGATAATATAAATTAAGAACAAAAACTGTATTACATCTCAGGTTTGAAACTTATTTTCTAAATTTGAAGAAAATAAAACTATTATTTTAGGCAATATAAATATTTAAACATAAGAGAAATAGTTTAAAAAAAATACTTTAGAGTATATTTAATCCTTTCATACCAGTAAACCTTTAATAAATAAAATCAGAAACACTAAGCTATTTTGACATAAATATTCAAGTTATATATATGAACATACACAATTTAACTTAGGCACTTCCTAAGAGCAGGGACAGCAGAGAGCATTGTTCTCTGAAAAGTATATTGTTTACTTTCTTTGGAAAGTGAGTGGGTAAATAGTTTAAACTTTGTACTTAAATAGGATAATACGTGTGAAATTTAAGTAAAAATAAGCAGAAAAAGACAAACAGAAATGTAATCTTTTACTCCAACAGTATAAAATGAAAAGAGTAATAAAATTCTCGAAAAACAATTACCATGTGGAATTTTAGCACAGTCTCCCTCAAAGTAGATTCAAAAACAGAGGAACACAATTAAATGTACCCCATAACCTTTACTTTCATGGTAATATTACAGTTCTGACTTTCATTACATTTAAATGTCCTTTAAAAAAATGAAACAAAATGTACTAGTGACCTTTTCTAAAGGTCAAATAACAATAATTCACTTTTTCATTAAAACACTAAAAAGTATTACTAACTTTACAGACATCCTGCACATAGGTGTAAGAACAATCTGGAATTCATACTGAAAATAGTAAAACTATTCTACTGTAGAAATTTATGCTATTACCTAAATTAATAAACTTTCAAAGTTCCAGCCATTTAAAAGGTCAAAAGCCATGTCACATCCCACAGTACTTGTCTAATTCAAGAAAATGCCTAACATTAGGCCTTTCTGTTCTTAAAGAATCTAGAAAATACTATCTATAAAAAGCAGATTTTCCAAGATTGTAAAGGACAGAACTGAGGGTTCCCTAAACTTGAATATCAATAAGACAATTCTCCTCCAAACTGTAAAGATCAATGTTACAAACAAAATCACAAAATGTCTATATTTCCAATCAGAAGCCAAGAAACTCAATAAATTTCAAATTATCAGTAAGAAGAAAACTACAATTCATTTTTTTAGTAGAGCCCACTCTGGAGCTCTGTCAGTGTGTGGCTCAGTGGTAGAGTGCTTGCTTGGCTAGCATGTATGAAGCCTGGGTTTGATTCCTTGGTACCATGTAAACAGAAAAAGCTGGAAGTGGTGCTCAAGTGGTAGAGGACTAGTCTTGAGCAAAAGAAGCTCAGGGCCAGTGCCCAGTCCCTGAGTTCAAGCCCAAGGACCAGCAAAAAAAAAAGAAATGTCAATAGAGAAAAAAATTCATGGAAGAAATTATGAGGGGATTGGATTAAATAGAAAAATAACACAGAATGCTGGTAGGTTGGGGAACTAACTACAAAGAGGAGACTAATATGAACAAGAAGCTGAGATGTCAGTGTGGCAGTATATACCAACAATCCCACTACAAAGATTTGAGGCAGGAAGATTTCAATCCTAAAGCCAATTGAGACACATGGCAAGATTCTGACTCAAAATAAGTAAGTAAATATATATATTGAAAAAGCATGAAAACAGCATTGGAAAGGAAATGTTTTAGGATTATAAGATAATAAATAGAAACACCCTTTGAAAATGAGTATTAGAAAGAAAAACTTGTAAACTTTCATATTACTCCTTCCTTTCAATAACAAAAAAAAAATCTCTTAAATAAGATGCACTTTGCTTCTGCAACAGAGGAGGGTATTCTTTTGGTAGGAATTCTATCAATCACTGAAATGGGACAAAATGTTCATAAATACAAACATTATGTTCATCAATCCAAAGGTACTATGAGACACAAATAGAATCAAGAATCAACATATTTTAGATAACAGCAGACCCCATAAGCCAAACTATAAATAAATTATAATGCTAAATTACATATCTTTAAGAAACAGATTCAAACATTTCAAACTAATGTCAGAAAGAAGAACAAGAGAAGGAAGAAGAGGAAAAAGAGTGGAAAGAAAGAATGAGGAGAAAAAGGGAGGGGAGGAGGAGTCCACAATAATGAATGAGCTGACTAAACTCAGATAAGAAATAAAGGCAAAAGGCAAAATTATATTAAAATGGGAGAGTAAATTTCAGGATGCTCAAGGAAGAAAAAAAGGTTAAGGTAGAAAACAGGCAAGAACGACTAATACACATGTAACTGGAGAACCAAAAAGGATTAGAAAAAGAATATTTAAAATTAGAATCCAAGTACACCTTCTGAAAATTCACATCAAGAAGGACAAGTGGACATATAGGAAAAATGACTTGCAATAGCCCATTCGGAAATATATCTGAATATCAAACTTTTAAAACAAAAAGTCCAGGGCCTCTAGGAAAAACATCAAATAACTTCTGAGGGTAACAAAGTGATAACAGTCTTCTCAAAGCAACATTAAAAAAACAAAAACTGGAAATTTTATGAAGTTTTGCTTCTACTCATAATGAAGTAAGAGGCAGAAGTTATCCTCCCACTTCATTTTTCAAAATGGACTAGAGATATAAAACAATGATTTTCAGACAGCAAAGAGGAAGAAAAACATCTGAACTTGTGAACCACAAAAATACAGTATAAAACCTAACCTTTTTCTTTTTTTTTAAGGAAGTATAAGTCCTGTAACATGCCAAGCACATAATCTACCACTGGGCTACAACCCTAGCTTGATTACAGTAATGCTCTAGCCAGCTAAAATGGAAAACTTTGTAATGCAGGAACCTCCTGGATAAAGACAAATTAAACTGAATTCTGTATGGTTCTGCCTAGCAAAGATTAAAAGCAAACCTTAAAAAGATTCAATTCTTTCCAAATAATTTAACTATCATTCTCAACAGATCTCTATAGTATTTAGAGATTAATAATACCAAGGTAGAATTCATGTCTGACATCCAATCAAAGTACACCAGGTATCCAAAGGAGAAAAGACCCATAAAGAAGAGAAAAATCAAAAGAAACGGACACAAAAATAACAAAGATTATTGAACTGGGTAAAAATTAAAACATATACTTATGTTTATATATCTGACAAGCTGAGGGAAGACATTATCACATTAAATAGAAACAAAAGATATATATATATGAAAGATACATATATATAAAGTCATCTGAGTGGCAGTGGTTTATGCTGGTAATTCTAGCTACTCAGATGGCTGAGTTCTAAGGATAACAGTTCAAAGCCAGCCCAGGGCGGAATGTCCATGAGACTATCTCCAATAAACTACTCAAAAAAGAAAAGTCAAAAGTGGAGCTGTGACTTAAGTGGTAGAACACTAGCCTTGAGCAAAAGAAACTCAGGGACAGTACCAACCCCTGAGTTCAAGCCCCAGGACTGGTAGCATAAAAGAAACAAAACAAAACAAAACAAACAAAAATAGAAATGCCCAAGGTAGAGTCTCATATTGGTATTCTTGGAATGACATCTCGGATGAGATCTTAAGACAAAAAAAAAACATATTCAATAGATTTAAGAAAAAGAATTTCTTAAAGAAACCTTAATGGATTTAAGTGAATAAAGAATAATGCATGGATATTTGTGACATTAAAGAAATCTAGAATGGATTAGAAATTTACTTCCAACAGAATAAAGCAGAAGTAAAATTGTGTGACTACAGAGTATAAGAAATAAGACAACGTACAGCTTTCTGGTGGATCTACTCAGAGAAAGCCAGATCTCTGTGATTACAAAAAAGTAGTATTACTCAGATCCATGACCTAAGGAATTGAGGCTTCTGGCCAATAGCTGTGTGAATAAATCATTTTGGAAGGAAATCCTCCAACGCTAGTCAACTTTCATATAACTGAAGCCTTGACAAAAATCTTTATTGCAAGTATGCAAGAGAACCTAACTAAGAAACACCAACTAAATTGCTAGCAAATCCTTGGCCTAAAAAATAAAAATATTACTTTGTTATAATTATGTATGTTATAATGTTTTAGGCCACTAAGGTTTATAAAAGTTATATAGCAAAAGATAACCAATTAAGAAACGTTATTGAACCTAAAAACATTAAAGAGATAAGGAAACAAATTACATGATGAGAACAACCAACCAAATACACTCATGAGAAAAGAACCTAACATCAGAAAATACACAATTTTTTAATATCACAAATGGACTATTCACAAAAATATAGAGAATATATATAAAGAAAAAGTATATGTACATATGTATGTATATATATGTATATATATATATACACATAAAGAAAGAAAGAAAATATAAAGAAAACTTGTTAGGTTACAGAAAAAATAAAGCACTAAGTTTGCCGGGCACTGATAGCTCAAGCCTGTAAACCTAGTTACTCAGGAATCTGAGATCTGAGGACCACAGTTCAAAGCCAGCCCAGGCAGGAATGTCCATGAGACTCTTTTTTTTTTTCCCCATTCAAAAAAGAAAAAAATTTTTATTGTGAAAATACCATACAGAGGGGTTACAATTACATGGGCAAGATAATGAGTACATTTCTTATCAAGCATTGTTGCCTCCTCCTTTGTTTCCCCTTCCCATCCCTTCCCATCTCCCCTCCCACCCCACCCCCAACCCCTCCAGCCAAAGTTGTAAAGTTCATTTTTCCACATAACAATTTGTACATCTCATTGTTGCAATGGGTCCACTTGTATCCCTATTTAAACGATTTGTTTTTGCCCTTCCCCTCCACAAATTATACCAACATCAAATACAGTGAAAGTAGGGGTTATACCATGGGAGAGGGACATACAAAGCAACAAAGAATTCATCTTATAAATATGTTAGAAACAATCGCATGAAAGAAAAAAACATCTGAATACTTATCTTGTGATTCATTTCACCTAACCTCAACTTATCTGACTTTTTCTGCTGGACTCAGACATATACTAGTTATTGCAAATAAGGGAAATCATGGGAACTATGTTTCCTTGGGCCTGGCTTACTTCACTTAATGTAATTTTTTGCAAGTCTTTCCATTTCCTAACAAATGGGGCAATGTCATTCTTTCTGATGGAGGCAGACTCCTATCTCCAATTAACCACCAGAAAAGTGTAAGTGGCGCTGTGGCTCAACTGGTAGAGCACTAGCCTTGAGCTGAAAAACTGAGGGGCAGCGCCTAGGCCCAGAATGCAAGCCCCACGACCGACCAAAAAAAGAAGCACTAAGTTTCACACATGTTTGATAAGCAATATTATCTATAAATTGAAATTTAATAAAACTAAAATAACAAAATTAAAAATTCTAAGAAAAAATTATTTCCAACAAAAAAATTTAACTTTTTAACAACTCTTGAATGAAAAAGAACTATGGATAGAAATTACATAACCTTTCACTTAATGTAAGTTTTCCAAGTCTTTCCAAAGAAACATGGGTCCCATGGTTTCCCTTATTTGCAATAACTAGTATATGTCAGGGACAAGTAGAAAAGGTCAAAAGCTATGTACATATGACCATATAAGATGAAGTTAAGCAAAATGAACCCCCAAATAGGGACACAAGTCGTTTTATTCTTTCTTGCTATTGTTTCTAACGTATTTATAAGGTTCCATGTGATTTTTGTATTTCTTTTTATGTTCTTCCTCGATAGTATAACCCGTTTTCACTGTATTTGATGTCTGTATCGGTATAATTTGGTGAGGGGAAAGGAAAAAATAAAATGTTTAAATAGGGATATAGATTGACCCATTGTAACAATGAGATGTACAAGACATAACACTGAAAAACCAACTTTACAATTTAGTTGGGGGGGGGTTAGTTGTGAAGGTGGGAGGGAAGGGAAGGAAGGGGAAAAACAAAGGAGGAGGCAACAATGCTTGATAAGAAATGTAATCATTACCTTGCTCGTGTAACTGTAATCTCGCTGTATAGTATTTTCACAATAAAAAACTTATTTTAAAAAGAAGTTATATAACTTTTAAAGATTGCTGGTGTAAAACATTGCAGGTCAGTATCTACAGAAGACTTTTAAACTGATGATAAGAGATTTAAACCAGCAATAAGAGATTTAAACAAGCAAGATCTTAAAAACTTAAGTAAATAAAAATGTGTTCTCACTGGTAAAATCTGGGGCAACTAGAGTGTCAAAATAAAGGAGGTAACGGTTATATTCAATTAAATAAATTTTTGTATTCATCAGTCTAGAACAGACACAACTCCTAACTATAGAATAATATTACTTTTTTGAAACACAAATAACTCGCTTTCTTTGAGTAGATTCAGCAGAAAGCTGTACATTGTCTTATTTCTTATACTCTGTAGTCACACAATTTTACTTCTGCTTTATAGAAGGAATGATAGTATTAGAGCTTCATTTTGCAACTACAGGAGTAAGAACAAACTCCAAGTAAGAGTTAAAAATTCTGAAACTAGGATATGTGAGTGAATGTTTTATGAGTCAACATACTTCCCCCAAAGTCTGCTAATTACAAAAGGTTAATTTAGCTAATGTCACTCTAACCAAGGGATCAAAGTTAACATATTCATCCATGGGACCAGCTGACATCATGTGCTTCATCTGGCTTCAGGTTAAGAGAACACAATTAAATATAATGTGGTATCAGACAAGGAGGGATGAGGAAAATATAAAATATGTGACTGTACCATTAACAAAATTTAACTATGGACTCTAGGTTAGGTAACAGCATTGTATCATGATTAAATGTCCTGATTTCAGTAACTGTATGTGGCTATGTATGAGTATATCCCTGTTCTTATGAAATGCATGCTGAAGTATTTAGGAATAAATAGGTAGTATGTCTTTGACTTCATGTCAAATGGCTTAGGAAAATATGTATAGATGCCTACCCATCTTCCACACTCAAGAGAAATTCAAATTGGGCAAAATTTGGGTAGAGTATGCTTAACTTCTTACTATATCCTTGATAATTTTCCATATACTTGAAATATGTAGAAAAAACATACCATATCTAGGTTAATATTTGACCTTTAAGAAAGGTACAAAATACAATTGTAGCTACAGTACAAGTAAAAAAAAATCATCACACATTCTGATGACTACATGTTTCTTACAGCAGATACAGACAAATTGTACTTTCTTTAAAGTCTAAAATTAAGAATAACGTTAATTCCTATAAGTAAAATAATCTAGTCATAATACTTTTTGAATGTCTCTAAATGATGTATGCAAGTGAATCATATTTAATTCAATTACTGAGGAAAGAAAGGTGAGCTCACTTTTTTCCTTAGAAGTTTTAACATCTCTACTTGTGATTTTGAAAACACAGAGAAGCTCTATATCATTTCGGAGGATAATAATAATAATCCTAATCACTGAACAATTTGATCTCACTTTCTAACACTCTTAGGGGCAAGTAAAAGTTTCATTCATAAGTGAATTTGATAATGCACTCAATGTTCTTAAAGAATAATATATTTTGAGGGAACTTGTAAACATGAGATAATTCCCAGAATAGGATCCCCTCCCCGCCCCCATCTTTAAGGAGTGTTGAGAACAGGGTTAATGGGTGAGAGTAAAGTTCAACAAGGAAAACTCTGCTCAAAATCCTACCCTTAGGCAACTTGGGATGGGAAGTGGAAGGGAAAATTAGGCAGTGCTATCAAACGCTTCGGATTAAGGGGAATCTGAGGTGACCCCAGACAAACTGTCAGTTTCCCAGACCATCATTTCTGCCACTATAATAAGAGAAGGTTATTTCTTCCATCTCTGTCTCAGTGCTAGGGATGGCGATGCTGAACCTGAAGAACACTCTGTAAACTTCAACCCAGTGCAGCACGTCACCAACTCCGTCAGGACCTCCGGGAAAGGCAATTAATTTTGTCTTGGTGGAGATCTCTTACAAAAAAAATACACATACACACACACACACTCCAGACACACACACGCACGCACACACCCACTCCAGACACACACACTCCAGACACACACACACATACTCCAGAGTTGGCAAGGAGACACACACACACACACTCGACATACACACACACTCCAGACACACACTCCAGACAGACACACACACACACACTCCAGAGTTGGCAAGGAGACACACACACATACACACTCACACACGCACGCACACACACTCCAGAGTTGGCAAGGAGCCAAGATGACTTTCCCTCCAAAAGGCCTCAGCATCTGGGCTTCCGCAGCACCCATCAATCAACCCGAGGGGGCGTGTCGCACGCGGCCGCCAGCCACGCCCCTTCCGCGCGGCCCGGCCCAGGCGCGGCGGCGGCCGCAGCACTCCCACTTCAGGGCCGTGCTCTTCCGTCAGGGTCCGCAGTCCCCGGTCGCAAACTTCCCCGGGAGCGAGACTCGCCGTGTTGAGAAGCTGTCCCAGGAGAAGGAAACAACTGAACCGGTACCTGAGCCGAAATGAACCCCTCATACACAGTTTTCGCCCGGTTTTGAGGCAAAAGCAACGGGCACTGGCGCAACAGGTTCCCCTCCGCCAGCGCCGCCGCCGCCGCCGCCATGGTGCCGCCGCTGCTGCGAACCTGCACATGCGCAGTGCGCAGGCGCCAGCCCACCCCAGGGGGTGGAAACCGGCTTTGGCGGGAAAAGCCTGGAGCTTCCGTGGGCCGAAGTGGAAGTCCGGGAAGGCCTTCGCTGGACCTGGAGGTGGGGAGGTGAGGGCCCCTTCAGATGCGCGGGTCAGACTGATGTCCCAGGGGCCCGTCGGGTGATGTGGGGGTTGGATGGATTTGATATCACCTCAGGGCTACGTTTCTTCCAGCAGTAATTTTCCACTTGTACCACTTCTCAGACCCTGGCTGAACACCTTCCTGTACTGCTGACCACACTCCTCCAGGAGGGTTGTCTCTACGCCCTTAGCCCCACACTATAGCTTATCCATATAACATTCGCTATGTCATATGCATTGTAGTAAGGTTGGTGGCTTTCCACTGTTAGTCAGATACTGTATTTGAGATCCAGACCACACACACCCATATAATATACATATATTAGAGAGAGAGAGAGACTTGGTGATCTTAACTTTTTCTAATATGTCCTATACATTTTACTAGCTCAGGAATGACATCCATTCCCTTTTACTAAGGGTTGATTCAATAAGAAACTTACAATTTTTTCATGTTCAAGGTAGTATTCAGGGCATCCATTTTCAAGCCCTACAATTTGCCCAACATCATTGTAATATGTGAAAAACTGTTGCCCTCAAAACGGAATGGGCTTTTGAAGATTGTGTAAGTTTGACAACCTTTGTCACAATATTGTGGATGTTCAGGGAAAATAAGAATGCTGCAACAGTGGTAAGATATAAAATACATTAAAACAGTGGTTCTCAAAATAGAACCTATTTGAACCCGCAGCATCAGCATCACTTGTGAACTTTAGAGACATTCACATTTTCCCCCAGAGTTAAGTTCAGGACATAATACCTCAAAATATAACATCTTGGCATTTGAGAATACAACACAATCTAGTACCCTTTTCCCACTCTTCTCCCCTAAGGTAAGTCATAACACCTTCATTAGAAAGGAGCCCTCTCTATACATAGAAGAAAGCAATATTTTAACTGCGGAAGCTACAAGGCAAAGAGAAGAATCTGAAAAGGACTTAATAAATTTCACTCAGTAACTACAATTAGGTCATACTTTCTTTGTCCTGTTACACTTGCTAATAACTGCCCCCTTTTCATTACAAAAAAACACTAGTTTCTATGTTGCTTCGGGTGTTCATTTGTAAGGATCCCATGTCATTAAGAAAAATAAATATACATTTCTCATGTCTATGTTTTGTTATATAGACCTTAGCCATAAACTTAGTAAAGGAAAAAATATTTCTCTTTCCCCATGTTCCCTTAACTCAAGTGTAGGGAATCCCAAACTCTGGAAATAGGTCCTATTCGTTGTTTTTTTGCAAATTCTAGATAATTCTGATAGCATGCTAAAGTGTAGAACCACTGTATGGGTTCTCAAACTCATTTTAACCTAATGCCTACTCAACTATACAACTCAGTTATAAGAATGTATTTTGTGATATGGATAAAGGACTTTCAGGTTGTGCAATTGTGGTATCAACACTAAGATTAAGATAGCCAATAAGCTAGAAATGGCTACGTAATAAAAACATTAAATATCTAAATTCATTAAACTTTTGTGTATGCAAACAATATTAACAACATAGAAATATGTGTGCGTATGTATATAATGTATAGATAGATAGACTCTTATCTCCAATTAACTACCAGAAAAAGGCAGATGTAGAGTGTCTCAAGTGGTAGAGCACTAGCCTTGAGCACAATGTCCATGCACTGAGTTCAAGCCCCAGGAGTGGCACACACAAAAAAATTAAAATTAATAACAGAAGTAATAATAATAGTTAAATATAGACTATATAATTATAAATGACTAGAGTAGATTTGGAAAAAGCTACTTTGGAATTCTCATTCATATTTGCAGTAACTCTGCTTAATAAAAATATGTCTTTTTAAGACAAGCAGTGGTGGCTCATACCTCTAATCCTAAATACTCGGAAGGCTGAGATCTGAGAATTGAGGTTCAAAGTCAGCCCTAGCAGACATATTCAAGAGACTCTTAACTCCACTTAACCAGCAAATGGCTGAAAGTAGTTATGTGGCTCAAGTGTTAAGGCAATAGCCTTGAACCAAAAAGCCAAACTAAGCAAGAGTACTTGGCTCTGAGTTCAAGTCCCAGTACTGGCATACACACACACACACACACACACACACACACACACACACACACACAATGTGGTTTGGAGATTTAAGTGGAATGTGAGTACTGGATATTACTTCTGTTTTGTCAACAATAGAAAAGATGGGCTAATCTTACACATTTTTTATTTGGGCAATAAATGCTTTAGAAATTATGTGAAAGTATGAACTAATTACTGAAGCAGGAGATGAAGTTTATGTTCAGAATAGAGCAAAAACAAAGAGTTGAGATAAAGCATAGGTTTCTAGGTTTTGTTGTGTTGTTTGAAGAGTTGATAATAAGATTCCTATTCAAATTATGAACATAAAACCTTACTCTTCCAGATGCAGATAATCTCATGTGTAGGTACATGTCACTCTGAAATTATCAAATATTGCCATTTCAAAATTCAAAGTGATTTTATACACATACATGTAAAATTTAAAACAATGAAAAAGACATTTTGAGTAGGCATTGAAAGCAGAACTTTGAAAATATTCTTCAAAATCATAAGTATGTAAAATTAGTTTAGGTAAAAGTGGTTATATTCTTTGTATAAACAGGACTCATTTTAATCTCAATTTTATTTAAAGTGTTAAGAAGGTACAAAGACCCAGGTGCCAGTGGCTCTCATCTGTAATCCTAGCTAGTCAGGAGGCAGCGATCTGAAGATTTTGGTTTGAAGGCAGCCTGGGGAGAAAAGTATGAGAGACTCCATCTCCAATTAACCAGCAAAAATGCTGAACTAGAAGTATGGCTCAAGTGTTAAAGTGCCAGCCTGCTTGGAAAAATCTGACACAGAGCAGATCCAGAGCTCCTAAGTTCAAGAATCAGTAATTACAAAAATAAAGGCACAAATAAAAAGATTCTATGGTAGGAAAAAAACATGAAGGGAAAGATAAAGATAAATCATTCAGGCTTTTAGCTCTATAGTAGTGATAATTTATTTTTGTGAGTAAATATAAAGTCTGGGAATATAAATTATCTATATAACATATAATTAAATGTAACACATGTTCCTATAAAGTATACTAGTGTAAAAATTACCTTCTACATTTAAAACTTAATTTTCTGGAAATGAAGTGTTTTACTTTACTGTAATATGCACAGTTTGATAGAAATAAATGCACAATTCAAATTATACCAACTTATTCTCTGTCCTCAGACTATGAGAAACAGTATAGGTTCCAGAGACCATGAAAATAAGAAAGTCCTTTGGATTAGCAAATGAATTTACATAAACGATGTTAAAATTCCATGGGCAACCCTTCCCAAGGATAGTATTGGCTTAACTGGTTTAATTTCAAACTAGTCTAATTTTACCCAGATTTAGTTTAATATAATGTGAAGAGTATATTGAAGTAATATACTGAAGTAATAATGTGAAGAGTATATTGAAGTAAAACTAACATACTTTAGGCCATTATAAATTGAGCCTTGTCAAATGTGACTAGATATACTTATGGACAGAAATAAATATTGGAGAGAGGAATGGTAAAGAATTAGGAGGGTCAAAGAAAAATCAAGTTGCTAGATCGAGGATCCTTCCACTTCTTATTGTACCAGGTTTTATAATCGCTATCAACTGGTAAATGCTCTGCATCTCCTACTACAGTAAGCCTGCCTTATTGTTAGATTTATCACACACAGTTTTCACCAAGTGTGGTCAAAATAACAATAATGATAATAATGAGTAAATCAAGGGAATTTCAAAAAAAGTTTAATTCCTGTGTATACATTATGCAGTTGGCACATAGAAACTCTCAGTCTTGTGTTATGTATAAATCATTGTGTGATCTGCTGAGTGTTTCCTTACCCTTAATTTTGTGAAAATATGCCTTTTCAAAAGCAAATGGTTACCCCCCAAACAAGGTAAAATCATGATAACATCCTTAAAGGGTTCTGGCAGTTATGAGAAGAATAGAAACCCAGAAAGATGAGCATCACTAGCAGATTCTGGAATTTGAAAGAGAGACAGTGTTGAAGCATTTTGTTGTCCTCTGTAGGAAGTGGGGGACTATGTTTTAGGTGTGGGAAGGATATTTGGTGAGAAAAGCAGAGAATGTTCCATACTTATAAAACTTACTTTCCCTGTGCCCAACCTTCTTTGTAGCTTGATGAGGTAAACTGACTGAGTCGTAGCGAGTGCAGTGTGGGTAGTTCCTAAAAACCTTCCATGTATGTATGGCTCAACATTTTCTTTTCTTGAATAAAAGGATTTTGAGGTCCTTTTGAGGTAAGAATGGTAAAGGCACATGGTAGAGTCTTTTCATAGGCTGATGGATAAATACCTTTCATTTTATATTATATTTATATTGTGGATCCATCTATTACACTCCCACTTAGCATGTGTTTTTCTAAAATAATGAGGATTGAATGCTATGGTATTTGAGTTTCACTTGAACTTTAAAGAGTGTAGAAATAGTTTTATTGTAGAAAATCAAATATCTAAAATATGCCCACAGTATATCCTTCAGCTATTTAAAATACATTATGAAAATTTTTAGATGCCAACAGAGATACATGTTATTTAAATTTTTAATTTAGGGTATATATGAGTGAATATATTAAAAGACCACTACTCTAAGGCACATAATTATTCAATTTATTTCTATGATAAAAACCCAGATGGCACTATGAATATTAATAATCTATACTTCAATCCAAAGAAGTCAAAACAAATACCCTGGGATAAATGGTTATGATTCATTTTATCTATTTGACAGACTTTTCATTGTGAAACTTCTCTTTGAAAATATTTCATTAGCTTCATACTTAGAAGTAATAAAATTAAATATTTTTACAAATATTAG